ATCCTCAAACAGACGATCGGGTCCCACTCGTTACTCGCCCAGCCCCGAGGTAGACTTCGCCGAGCCTCTTGGATAGATCGATCGATAGATAGATAGATACGTAAAGAGAGAGGGGGGTTGAAGGTAACATGGGAAGGCGTGGTTATTAAGGTCTATATTTTCCTTTTCCTCCTCCCTCCTCTTGCTGTTTAAGAAGGGGAGAGGCGAGAAGCGAGAATCCTTGCACAAGATGTATAAATATTCAGGGTAGGTTCTATGTAGAGTGCCTCCTCCCTCCCCGCCCCTTCCCCCCCCCCCTACTGTCTCTGCCCCTCCCTCCCCTCCCTCCCTCTCCTCCTCTCCTCCCACCATTTTTCGCAGTGTCATTCAAACACAACAGGTGGACACATTTTGCAGCGACGATGGACAAGGCAAGGCGGACGGACATACAGACACGCACATACACTCGTCCTCTCCCCTATCCCTCTCCCTTCCTTTCTCCTTCTCTCTCTCTCTCTCTCTCTCTCTCTCTCTCTCTCTCTCTCTCTCTCTCTCTCTTCTCTCTCTCTCTCTCTCTCTCCCTCTCTCCAAAGACGTTTCAACGCGAGCCCATATCCAACGTCAGGTGCAACCAGGAACCATTTACATACACGATTTGCACAAGTTACACGGATGGACAGACAGACAGCCACGGCCCGCCCCTTTTAGATCCTCCCCCTCCCTCTTTCCCTCCCTCCCTCCCTCCCTCTTTCCTCTCTCCCCACTCCCTCCTCCGCCCCCAACAGACCATGCAGAGGTGAGACTGAATGACTGACAAAAGCGAAAAAAAAAACAAATAATTATTATTACAACAATTAAACATAACTGGCAACAAAGTGCAGATGTACGATAACATAACAAAAATGAATTAAAAACAGAAAAGTTTCTCTCTCTCTCTCTCTCTCTCTCTCTCTCTCTCTTCTCTCTCTCTCTTCTCTCTCTCTCTCTCTCTCTCATCGTTACGGCTGTTACCTCCTCTTCCTCTTCCTCTTTTTTTAAAGTCCCTCATTCACCTCTCCCTCTTCCTTGGCCACCCAACCGCATATCCATATAACTCTTCGGGAGTGAGGAGGAAGAGGGGGAGTCAGAAGAAGAAGAAGAAGAGAAAGAAGAGAAGAAGAAGAAGAAGAAGGAAGAAGAAGAAAAAAGAAGGAGGAGAAAAAAAGGAAAAGGCCGAAGGGAGACCAAAGAAAAAAAAAAAAAGAAAAGAGAAAAAGGTAGATAAAGAAAACAAAGGAAGAAAAGAAAGAGAGAGGAACGGAGCATTTGAGTCACATGAGAGTAATGATGTCTGACGTCCCATGACTAACCCCCCCACCCCCACCCCACCCCACCCCACCCCCCGTCTCTTTTTCTCCGTCCTCTCCCCCACTTCCTTCAACCTTAACCCCACCCCCCCTTTCCCCTCTCACGTCTTCCCAAAGAAATGAAATCGACATCAAATGATAAATTAAATGGACGAATGAATTATTAATGAATAAACAAAAACTTATAACGGTTTGAATAAATAAAAAAAAATGTTTCTCAGTGTTCTTAAACGTCGTTAATACGTATTAACGCATTGCTCCCATATTTACGGATATTCTGATTTTCTCCTCTCTCCATCTCCTCCTATTCTCTTCTTTCTTTTCCTCTGATTTAAGCCAGACTAAAATGACAGTCGTTTGTCTTTATCTTTCTACTTCTCTTTCTTTCCTCTAATTCAGCACTCTCTCTCTCTCTCTCTCTCTCTCCACTTTTTTTCTTCTATCTGGTTATCTCTCTCTCTCTCTCTTCTCTCTCTCTCTCTCTCTCTCTCTCTCTCTCTCTCTCTCTCTCTCTCTCTCTCTCTCTCTCTTCTCTCTCTCTCTCTCGCACCGGAAACGTCGCCTTGACGCGAACAAACGACATCCTTCAAGAGGTCGACTGGACAACCGTGTTGTGTGGGGGGGGGGGGGGAGGGGGGGAGGGGTAGTGCGGGGAGAGGGAGAGACGGATAAATAGGGGGTAAGGGGTGGAGGATGAGGAAGGGGGGGTTGTGTGGTGGTGGGGGGGGGGGTACGCATGTGCCGGGCGGCAACGGTCAAGATTGGGGGAAGGAGGCGAAGGGGGGGGGGAAGAGGGGTAGATGGAGCTAAAAATATAGTCCTAGAGAAAGGGGGAGGAGAGAGGAGAGAGAAGAGAGAGAGAGAGAGAGAGAGAGAGAGAGAGAGAGAGAGAGAGAGAGAGAGAGAGAGAGAGAGAGAGAGAGAGAGAGAAGAGAGAAAGAGAAAAAACAAAAGAAAAAAACATAAAAAAGTCGACCCAAATCATCAGTATCATAAAACTTGTTGCTCTTCCTCCTATTCCTTCTTCGGCGCCTTCCACCTTTTCTCCTCCTTCCCCTCCCCCTCCTCCTCCTCCTCCTCCTCCTTCTCCTCCCGGATTTCCGACGACAGCTCCTGGCATCACTAATCCCTTTCCTCTTTATCAGCATCATCGTCCAAAACTCCTGTTCTTGGTGGGATCCTTAAGGTCTATTCTTACCTTCGAATCCTATGGGTGCATCACCCTTATGCCCACCTTGGCTGCCGCACGCAACGCTCTTGCTTGCCTGATGCACTTAAACGCACATGCGCGCACCGGCACAGGCATACACGCTGGTGTGGAAACATCCATGAGAAGAAGAGGAGAGGAGAGAGAGAGAGAGAGAGAGAGAGAGAGAGAGAGAGAGAGAGAAGAGAGAGAGAGAGAGAAGTGAGAGAAGAGACGAGAGAGAGGATGATAAATGTAACACTCTCTCTCTCTCTCTCTCTCTCTCTCTCTCTCTCTCTCTCTCTCTTTCTCTGTAGGTCTTTCCTCTCTCTCTCTAACAACACACACACACACACACACACACACACACACACACACACACACACACACACACACACACACAAATAACGAAACACCGAAACACAACCTTGAAAGGAGCCCCGGCCACCCCCTCCCCCCCAACTTCCTGTCCAGGCACAGTGTGTGGTGTCTCCTAACATACATCCCCAGCTTCCGGTCTCTTCAAGACGTCACATGCCTAAGTTACGCGCACAAAAAAGGCTAGTTAAGAAACCTTTCTCCCACTTCCTTCCGCCCCTCCCTCCCCCCCCCCCTTCCTTCTCCTCTCCTACCTCCTACTCTCTCTTCTCTTCTCTCTTCTTCTTTTCTTCTCTCTTCTCTCCTCTTTTCTCTCCCCTCTTTTCTCTCTCTCTCTCTCTCTCTCTCTCTCTCTCTCTCTCTCTCTCTCTCTCTCTCTCTCTCTCGCTCTTTCCTTTTCTCCTCTCCCTTTCCTCTTTCTCCTCCTATCCACTTTCTCCCCCCACCTCCCTCTTTCCCTATCCACCTTCCCTCCCCCTACCCTCCCCATTCCCCTATCCACCCCCCCCCCCCCTAGCCCCACACGTCAGCTGTCAGCCATCCTTTTTCCATCGTCAGTCTGTTAGTCTGTTTGTCTGTCGGAGCCGTCTTGTGCATCTGACTGGCAGTGTCTTGATGGGCCAGTTTCCTTGTCTCTCTTCCTTCGGCCGTCTGGGAGATCTTGTGGGGGGGGGGGGGGAGGAGGAGGAGGAGAAAAAAGAGGGAAGAGGGAGTGGATGATGAAAAGGCGGAGGATAAGGATGAGGAAGAGGAAGGACGAGGAGAGGAGGAAGGATGAGAAAGAAGAGGAGGAAGAGGAAGAGGGAAATGAGAAGGGAGGAGAAGAGGATGAGGAAGAGGGCAGTGATAGTAGGGGATAAGTGTTAATTGTTGTCGACTCCATCCAGTCTGGGAAGGCCGTGAGGGGACTCGCTAACCAAAGGGAGGAAGGAGACGGTCTCTTGTTCTCTCTCTCTCTCTCTCTCCCTTCTCTCTCTCTCTCTCTCTCTCTCTCTCTCTCTCTCTCTCTCTCTCTCTCTCTCTCTTCGTTGTAAGCGGGCACCCCCACACTCGGCCGCCCGTGTTACAGCCTATCCGAAGCCGCCAAGCTCCTCCCACCCGCCCACCCGCCCATCAACCCATTTCGCACAAGCGCCCACCGGCTCACCCGCCCGTAAACATGACGCAATACTCCTTTTCTTCCACGTTCTTTTAACCCGTTACTCCAACCCTTTCCTTTCTCCTCACTCCCTCCTCCTTTTTTTTTTTTGAGGGGTAAGTATTTCCTCCGGGATGGAAAAAAAGGCCATGAACCACGAAATATGGATAAGGAGGAGGAGGAGGAGGAGGAGGAGGAGGAGGAGGAGGAGGAGCAGTGCGGAGTGGAGGAAGAGAGAAGAAGAGGATGAGAAAAGGAGAAGAGGAAGAGAGAAAAGAGATGGAGGAAGGAGCGAAAGGAGGAGGATAATGAAGAGAAAGGAGAAGTAAATGAAAAGGGAAGAGAAAGAAGGAGAAAGAGAGAAAGGAGGGGGAGAAAGAGATAGGAGGAGAAAAAAAGGAAGAAACGAAGGCGAAGGAATAAAAAAGAGGGAGAACGAGAAAGAAGAGATATGGGTGGCGGAAGGGAGGGTGGCAAAGATGTGGGGGCCACTTTTCTACAAATTGCCTCCCCCTCCCCCTCTCTCTTGAATATAACTCTTCACTGTTACTTGATGTGCGGATACACGTGTACACTACATATGTGCATATTATTTACCTTCCATGGGTAGCACGGGAAATAAGGAAATTTTTAGGAAGGAGAAAGAGAGAGGGATGGGGATAGAGAGGGGAGGAGGGAAAAAGCGGGAGAGGGAGGGGAAGAGGAGAAATGGGGGAGGAGGAGGGGGAACTGGGGAATGGGGGAGGGAGGATGGGGAAAGACGAAGAGGAAAGGAGGGAAGAGAGAAGAGAAGAGAGGGAAAAGGAAGAAGAGAAAATGACAGGAAAAGCAAAGACAAGCACACACAAAGACAAAAAAAAAAAAAAAAAAAAAAAAATAACACAAAAAAAAAATCCTCACCAACAAACTCCCGCATTAAAGAGACATAAAAACAAAAAAAAAAACAAAAACAAAAAACAAAACTTGTACTCACCAATGAACTGAATTGCTTGCGGGAAAAAAGAAGCGAGGTTTTGGCTCCAGTGGTCGGCGATGGGAATCTGCATGTACTTGTAATTCCCACAATTTTCGAACACATTAGGCAGGTTTGGCGTCACATTAATTATATACTGCGGGAGAGAAGGTGGGAGAGAGAGAGAGGGGAGATAAGAATGAGATTAGACAAAGTACGATTAACGATAAATATATATATAGGTCTATAATTTAAAAAAATATATGTAAGCAAGGTTTGATTATGAACATATGGTCATGTATTTTCTTACTATCAATGAACGATATATATATATATATATATATATATATATATATATAATTTATATATATATATATATATATACACACACAAGTCTATAATTTTAAAAATATGTAAGCAAGATTAACGATAAATATATATATAGGTCTATAATTAAAAAAAAATGTAAACAAGGTTGTAAATATATAAAATGGTAATATATTTTCTTAGTATTAATGACATTTGAGAATGAGTTACTTTAATGCCAGAGTATACATCAATAACATTAATTATATAAATCACAGTAATAATAATAATGACACACATTATCAGTAAATCTACTACTACTACAACTGCTACAGTACTACTATTTACTACTAAACCTACAAACAAGTATCAAAATATAATCGTAAAAACAATAATAATAAGACCAGTAACAGTTTTAATAACACCAATAAAAGTTGATAAGGTATGTAATCTTATAATCTACAATAGCAAGATAACAAATGTAGAATTATTTATAGTCATAAGCTAAAAATATCTGCACAGCTGCTTACTACCCCCCCCCCTTCTCCACCCCTCCCCCCGCTACACCAATGGGGGCAGAAGGAACACACCGAAGAGAGAGAGAGAGAGAGAGAGAGAGAGAGAGAGAGAGAGAGAGAGAGAGAGAGAGAGAGAGAGAGAGAGAGAGAGAGAGAGAGAGAGAGTGAGAGTGAGAGTGAGAGAGAGAGAGTGAGAGAGAGAGAGTGAGAGAGAGAGAGTGAGAGAGAGAGATGAGAGAGAGAGAGAGAGAAAGAGAGAGAAGGAGATAATACAAGCACAAAAGTAACGAGAAAACAAACAGCAGAGATGAAGAGAGAAAAAAAATGTAGAGAAAAGAAGAGAAAGTAAATAACAGACGAAGCAAAGAAACCCGAGGGAACACGTAGAGAAAGTGACATGCAAAGGGGAACATGAGGTTGCAATATTCCGATAAACGGCATGCGAACGACGTAAGGAGAAAGGAAAAGGAAGAAAGGAAGAAAGGAAGAAAGAAAGAAAGAAAGAAAGAAAGAAAGAAAGAAAGAGAAAGAATGGATGCGAAGATGAGAGAGAGAGAGGAGAGAAGAGAGAGAGAGAGAGAGAGAGAGAGAGAGAGAGAGAGAGAGAGAGAGAGAGAGAGAGAGAGAGAGAGAGAGAGAGAGAGAGAGAGAGAGAGAGAGAGAGAAGGAGAAGAGAGAGAGAGAGAGAGAGAGAGAGAGAGAGAGAGAGAGAGAGAGAGAGAGAGAGAAGAGAAGAGAGAGAGAAGAGAGAGAGAAGAAAAAAAGAGAAAGAAAGAGAAAGAATGAAAACAGAGGGAAGAGGGTGAAGAAAGACATCCATCTATTCAAGCATGCACAGGGTGTCATGGCTGGGACGAAACAAACAAACACACAGGAAATACTAATTGTATAATTGAGATGAAAGTCGAGCCACCAGCATCATAAAAGCAAAACTGCACGTATGAATGAGAATGAGAGAGAGAGAGAGAGAGAGAGAGAGAGAGAGAGAGAAGAGAGAGAGAGAGAGAGAGAAGAGAGAGAGAGAGAGAGAGAGAGAGAGAGAGAGAGAGAGAGAGAAGGCCGAAGAAGGGAAAAAAAAGGACGAAGAAGATGAGGAGAACAGCGAAGACAAAGAAGAAGAAGAGAAGAGAAGAAGAAGAAGAAGAAGACGAAGAAGAAGAACGAGATGAGAGAGAGAGCATGACGACAGCCCCAAGACGAACCAAATGAAGGTGGAGTCAACGAAGGTGTCGGGAGGGGGAGGAGAGGAGGGAAGGAGGGAGGGGGAGGGGAAGAGGGAGGGGAGGATGGGATGGTTAAAGGGGGGAGGAGGAGAAGAGAAGGAAAGGGAGGAGGGAGGGAGGAGGTGGGGAGGAGAAGGAGGGAGGGGGAGGGGAGGAAGGGGGAGGGGAGGATGGGATGGTTGAAAGGGAGAGGGGAGGGGCGAGTAAACAATGGCGTGGGCGGGGTCTGCGTCACGCCGGAGTACACACAAGGCATGAATGAATGGATGGGGGGCGAGCCACAGCAGATGAGTGGGGGGATGGGGGGAAAGGGGAAGGGGGTTGGGGAGGGGATGGGGGGTGGGAAGGGGGAGGAACGAGGGGGAATTGGGGTGAAAAGGAAGGGGGGGGTTGGGTGGGATAGAAGAGGATTGTGGAAAGGATGCAAGGTTGGGGAAGAGGGAGGGGTAGGGAGGGAAGGGAAAGTTAGTGTTAACATGGGAAAGAGAAAAAGAAAGAGAAAGAGAGAGAGAAGAGAGGCAAGGCAGATAAAAGAGAGAGAGAGAAAGAGAGTGCTAAGCGACGCAGAGAGAAATGAGACAATGCAACGGACGAATCAAGGAGACAATGGTGAATAAATAAGGCGAGACAATAAGGCCAACATCATCCCCGAACCAAGAACAAGACGCAGAAGAGAGTTTAAGGAGGCGGATGGGTGTATGCAAGGAGGAGGAGGAGGAGGAGGAGGAGGAGGAGGAAGAGGTGAGGAGAAGGAGGCGGATGGGGTGGTAGCAAGGAGGAGGAGAGGAGGATGAGGTGAGGAGAAGGAGGTGGATGGGGTGGTATGCAAGGAGGATGAGGATGAGGATGGGGTGGATATGCAAGGAGGATGAGGATGAGGAGGAGGTGGAGGAGAAGGAGGTGGATGGGGTTTTATGCAAGGAGGGAGGAGGAGGAAAAAGAGAAGGAGGGAAGAAAAAGAGAGGAAAGAGAAAGAACATAAAAAAAACACAAGCAAAAGAAAAACATGCCCGAGCAAATCGTAAAGAGAAGGAATAAAAAAGAGGAAAAAAAAACGAGAGAAGACGATGAAAGTGGAGAACGTGCGTGGAGAAGAGAGAAGGGAGAAGAGAGAAGAGAGAGAGAGACTGGGAGGGGGGGGGTAGGAGGAGGGAGGAGGAGGAAGGCTCGTTATAATAATAAAAGTCTTTCGCAATTCTCTGAAGGCTAACAGGACCGGATATGGAAATTCATCCGGGAGTTTTGCACGAGGTGGTGGTGGAGGAGGAGGAGGAGGAGAAGGGAGAGGAGGAGGAGGAGGAGGAGAAGGGGGGGAAGAGGAGGAGGAGAGGAGGAGGAGGAGCAGAGAGAGGAGAATGGGGGGAAGGAGGAGGAGGAGAGCAAGGAGGAGAAGGGGGGAGAGGGGGAGAGGAGGAGGAGGAGGAGGGAGGGGAAGGGGAGGGAGGGGAAGGGGAGGGAGGAGGAGGAGGAGGAGGAAGGAGGGAGGAGGAGGAGAGGAGGGAAGAGAGAGGAGGAAAAAGCGGTGGAGGTGGAGTAGGAAGAGGAAGAGAGAGAGAGGACAAGAAAACACTAACAAAAGGTCAAAGGTGACAATATTAAATGTTATACGTAGCCTAAAAATGTAGACAAAAAGGAGCAATATAAAGATTAAGAAAATATAGAAAAGAAACGAAAAAGAAAGAAATAAACCAAACAAAGAAGCAAACGAACAAAAAAAACAGGAGGAGAACAGCAGCAAGAGGAGCGCAGAGGAGGAGGAGAGAAGAGGAGCAGAAGAAAGAAGGAGAGGAGGAGGAGAGCAAGATGAGGTAGAGGAGGAGAAGCAAGAGGAAGCGAAGCAGGAGGAGGAGAAGAAAGGAGAGGAGAAGAAAGGAGAGGAGAAGCAAGAGAAGAGAGGAGGAGGAGGAGGAAGGAGGACAGAGAGAGAGAGAGCGCGGCAGGGGAGTGGCTGAGGTGAAGGTCTGAAGCCGAATGAATGGGCTTACTGAATGACTCGTCAGCGCCACGTCGAGTGAGGGTGGCGAAGGACAGCGATTCTCACGGGCCACACCGACTCAATGAATGGATGGAGGAATGTATGAATGAATGGGCGGGGGGTCAGGGGAGGGGGGGGGCGGAAGTCGGGGTTCCTGGTTGGCTTGGGGATGAATGAATGGGTGAGTGAATGGATAGCTGAATGGGTGGATGGATGGAGAGATATTGGGTGTATTTTTGTTGTTGTTTTTGTTAAGCTTGTAGAGAGATAGACAAATACATCGGATTAAAATAGTTGCATAGATACGAATACGTAAATAAAGAAGAACAAACGAAAGAAATGAATAAAGGAGAGAGAGAGAGAGACATAGAAGGCTTCTCTACAACAATCAATTCATAGGTACGGATGCCATGGAGATTACGCCACGCCAATATGCGAGACACTTAGCGCCGAATAGCGGTCCGATGGCAGACGAGACAAAAAGCCAAGGAGGAGAGAGAGAGAGAGAGAGAGGGAGAGAGAGAGAGAGAGAGAAGAGGAGAGACGAGAGAGAGAGAGAGAGAGAGAGAGAGATGATGAGAGAGAAGAGAGAGAGAGAGAGAGAGCAGAGAGAAATCCTTGAATCAAAGTGAAAAGGGAAAGAGAAAGTAGAAACGTGTAATCGTCCCATGTCTTACACAAGGTTCGAGTCACGGGTATAGGAAAAAAAAAAAATAATATATAAAAAATAAAAGGTGCTTACGTATATGACATCAAGATTTAATTAAAGAAGAGCAATTGAATCATCGTCGGGTTCATCAGAATGCGCACGGCACCAGCACAAGGGCGAATAAAATAATAATAAAAACAAAAACACAGAACTCAGAAGATAAAGAAGACGAACAACAACAAATACGAGAACAGAGAGAACAAAAAGAAGACGAACAACAAATACAACAACAGATGGAACAAATAGAAGACGAAGAACCGAACAACAAATACAACAACAGTAAACAAATACAAGACGAACAACCGAACAACGAATACAACGACACAGAAAAAAAAAAATCGAAAACAAAACACACAACAAGACAGAACAAAAAGAACAACAAACCAACAACAACAACAACACAAACAGCGGCCCGAGCGAAGGCGG